TACTGCTCAGCTTGTGTGAGGTGACTGCATGCCCTGTGGAGAGGTGCAGAAAGGAGGTTGTGCCTTACCCACTCCACTGTTCTTGTCATAACGTTTGACCCTCCATATCTTTCTTGTTCCTGAAGTCCTGGGCACCGAAGCTGGCTTGGCAGATGCAGCATGTCCCCGCACTCCCCCCTTCATCTTCCTGGAGAAGCAGGGAGGAGGAGGAGGAGGAGAGCCTGGCACTCGTTGCCATAGAAACAAACTCTCTCCATCTCTGCTGCAAGGTGGTGAGGAGGAGATCGGGCCATGCCTCCCTGAGTATCAGCAGGGTGTTCCCCTCCTCACTCTGTCTGGAAGCAGAGCCTCCCTCCAGGCCCTCTGCCTGACCAGGTAGCTCCTCTTGGTCAGGAAAAGCCCCACGGTATTACCTGACAGCAGTCTGGTTTCTGTTCCAAGGGAAACTGTCACAGTTGTACAGTATCCTGGCACTTGCCAGAGAATGTCAGAAGAACACACTAAAGTCTGGTCTCCTCATCAGTATCAATCTTTAATGTTTCTTATTCTGCTGTGTCCACCCTCAAAAGTCTACCTCCTTTCCAGAGAAGCAGTCTGTTACCTGGTGTAGAGTCCTCTGTCTGGCACCAGCCTTCCCCTAGACTGAAGTATTCAGCTCTGATTCTGTGTCTTGGATGCCTTATGAGACTTTCAGAGGACCTTGCATCCTTGAGTAGGAAGGAGATTTGGGAAGATAGAGTTCCTTGGGGAACAAAACCAATTTCACTGTGTTCCTTCATGTTCCCCCTGATAATGTGACTGCTCCTATAACTACAAAATAGTGCACCTTCCTGGTCCCTTTTCTCAGCTAACAGCTTTTGTTCCCCCCTGAGGCAACAGATTTGGAGGTTGTCTGATGTCAGAAATACTCAGAGGATGCTTCCATAACGGCCCCAGGCCCACGAGGGTATGCAGTATTCCATGGGGAAAGGCAGGCACTGCTGACAGCCCAGGTTTGCTTCTCCCCCAGGTGACCAGGTTGCAGGGATGCTCGCTGTTGCTGTGGCCTCCAGTCGAACCCTCGAAGTGCTGGACTTGGAGGGAACAGGACTTACCAACCAGTCAGCTCAGGTATGAGAGCCCACAAGTTACTCTACAGGATCACTGACATCTGAAGGACATAGGTTTGGGCTATCTATAGGCCCTAGGACACATAGCTGCCTCCACCTACCTCTTCAAGTCCACTGCCCTCCCTGCACCCAGGGGTGTTCTTGCATTCTCCTGGCTGTTTTCTTGGAAGAATTCGGGGTTGGATTTTTGACTGAGGATCAGACCTAAAGCTCTGTGGACAAGTAGGAGCCAAGGCTTGGTAGCATAGGCTCTCAGAGCCCCAGCTCCCAATGGTAAGAGGGAATGAGCCTAGGTATATGGCAGTTACAGGGTGTAGAACAGTCCCTTCTTCAGAACAAGCCAGGAAATCTGAGCCCACAGGAAGATGAAAAGTCCTCAGTCTCATAAAGCCTGATGAAGGGAGGTCAAGCCCAAGGCAAGGTAGAGGTAAGAAGAGGAGGACTAGAGTTTTCAGGGAGACAAAGCATTGATGCTCTTTCTGCTCAGCCTAGTTGCCAATTGTGCTGCTTGTCAGCCTGTTTATCTCACTCTCTGCCCAGACCTTGCTGGACATGGTAGAGAATTACCCCACAGCCCTACGGACACTCATCCTGGCAGAGAACAACATTAGTCCCGAGCTGCAGCAGCAGATCTCTGACCTTCTCTCAGAGGGTGAAGAAGAGGAGGAGACAGAAGCTCACGAAGTCACAGGCAGGGAGAAGAACCCCTGGATCTGCCAGAACAGTAAGAGCTCTGGGAGCTGGGCTGTGGGCAGGAATTGGGGTGCCTGGGCTGTTTCCAGCGCCACTGGTCTCTTGTAGTGGGGTTGATGAATGAGTTCTGTCCCTTTTCCCCATGAACATACATACAACCTCCAGGCATGACCTTCACGTTAAGTAGCATTGGGCTGAGCCATGCCTGGAAATGCAGCCTCCAAGGACAATGCGGCTGCTGCAAAGAGTGGAAACGGTACCTCTGAGGCATTTTTCCTGATGCTGCAGGAACAAAATCTTTATGCAAAGTCTTAAAACTCAAGGGCAGGAACATTAAAGATCTCGGGGGCCTTTGCCAGATATCCTAGCCAAAACTTGTGTCATTCCTCACTGCTTCCAGAGCCTCCCTGCAATCTGCACAGCATCAGCTACTCCTATCTCTGCGTCCCAAATGTGCAGGGTTAGCCAGGTGCCACAGCCTGTCTGTTGCTTGTACTGGGAAAAAGGTATATTGTGGAGATAGCAGTCGCCTGTTCTGTGTAGTTTGTATATATAATATTGTATATTGTCATGCCTTCATTACCATCCACCTGATTTTTTTTTACCTTCAGTTGTCCTTCCCCCCCTCACAATTCTCATATCAGACTAGCAGCAGACAAGCACAACCACTCCAGCCTCAAAACATCTGGACCCTCATTTATTAAAGCTGTAAAAATCATTTAGTGGCAGTTTTGGCTAAGTTTTGGATCCAGTTTCCAGAGACTGATCCCCAAAATAGAGATCCCATGCAGGCGTTTTGAGTGTGTAGGACTGCCACTAAAGATCTCCCCCCTCCCAGCCAGAAAAAACACATTTATTTTTTTCTGTTTCAAAAGGCTTCTGGATGGGAAACTGGTACCCTGCTGAGTTTCATACTTGCTATGCTTGCCCATCCTCCTTGCAGTTGATTCACTTGGCATGGGGAGAGTCACAGTGTTCCTGGCTGGTGCTCTGTGCCACGGCAGAGCCAGCAAGCTGCCCTCGCCTCGCTGAGGCAGGCAGGGAAGAGCTGCACAAACCCTCCATTCTCTCAGTGCAGAATGTCAGTATTTCCAGGCCTCTGCGGCTGTAACCTGGCTGATTTCCCGCTGCGTTCCCTGTGCTTGGGAAGGCAACACCACCACCCTGTGTGGGTTTGGCTGGCTTGCAGCTTGCCACCCCATTCCACCTGGACACTGTCGCTCTAGCTGAAAAAGACAGTCAGTGCAGATTTAGAGGTCTGTGCAGGATTGGGGAAGGACATGGCTGGGCCAGCACCACCAGTATCACCTGTAATGTGGGGAAGGTTCAGAGCTGATGTACCTCTGGGCTCTTGCTGCTGTCGCTGCTTTCTGCCCCTTCCCAAACATCAATTCTGTTCTGCTGTGTGGCCAGAGTAGGCCTAGTTACTACTTAATCTCACACTCCTCCCAGCAGTTCGCTTCCCACCCTGCGGTGCTCTAATTCCTCACGCTCACCTCTGGATCTGGAGTACAGCCCTGCGCTCTCTGGCAGCCCAAATGGCTCATGGCATTTTCCCTCTCTCGACACAGATTCCAGCTCCCAGATGGTCCTGATGACGTCTGGTCTCGGTGACAGCCTCCTAGCAGAAACAGAGATGTAGCTGGGCTACCCTGCCTGCTTCTGCCCCCCCCCCGCCGCAGCCTCCGCTGGGCTCCCCAGCCCTCTCCTCACACATCGCCCCTCCTGCCGATGCCTCCCTCGGCTCTCTGAGCGCCGGAGCGCGGTCCGAGCGAATCTCTACACACGTCTCTGTTGTCACACGCCCCCGTCGGCCGCTTGTGATTGTCCCGTCGCCGCATGTGTAGCTCACGCCGCCCTGCCTTCCCCCCCACGCCCGGCTGTGCCCGCGGGGCGCAGGCTGTATTTATTCAGATGTGTATAAGAGATGGTCTTTCTATTGCTTGTACTGCTGTCGCGATGAGAGTTTTATAAAGGTCACAGACGTGGCACCACTCCTGGCAGCGTGCGCCTCCGGCACAGCACAGCACGGCCCGCGGGCACAGCGACCGG